ATGACACACAGGGCCCACTGCTCATAATGACAGCTATGCAGCAGCACCACGACAATAGCTAATTAAGCACCGGCGGGCGCCTTCGAAGTATCCCTGAACTGATGTCCTTAGCTAACATCCTGCAGTAAAACGAGGCTCGTGTGCCTGGCAGAGAAAAATTAATTCTCTGTGTTTCGGCAGAAGTCTTGGGGAGCGAGAGGGGAGGTGCGGGCTCTTTCAGAGAGCAAAAAAGTTACAAGTTGCAGGGCTGTTCGTCACGGCTGAGCACTGCAGCAATAAGGAGACGAATAAAAAAAACCCCGGAAGTATTAGCGGCAGCCTAGAATAGGGCACCAATAACAGCACAACAAATCTACGCTGCAGTCTTATATAAAAGCCAGATGCAGCTCTGACCTTCCTGTCAGTTTAGTGTAGTGGTTAAGTGTGCGGACTCTGTTTTGGGAGAACCAGGTTTGATTCCCCACTCCTCCACATGCAGCTGCTGGTGTGACCTTGGGTCAGTTACAAGTTCTTTCAGAGCTGTTCTCTCACGGGCAGTTCTCTCAGAGCTCTCTCAGCCCCACTTACCTCACAGGGTGTCTGTTGTGGGGAGGGGAAGGGAAAGGAGTTTGTAAGCCGCTCTGAGACTCCTTCCGGTAGTGAAGGGCGGGGTGAACAGGTAAGCTAGTGTTGTTGATTTTTTAAAAGCAAAGTTATTGAATCTTGTTTAAGGGCCCTCAGTAAGTGTTAGGAAACCTGTGATTAGTTCCTCCTAGCATTTAAAAAAAAACAGAAGTAGCTGCTCTTTGGAGTCCTGGTGAAGATTGGGACTGGCCTTTTTTCCTTCCAAGGAAAGAGTGCGGGAGGCAGTTTTTATTGGGAAAACTCTTCCCCCACCCCCAAATCTGAACCAGAGCCCCACACGGCTGCTATTTTTAATTATGAGCCACTGGACAGAGATCTCCCAGCATCTCACTTTAGTTACACCTTCAGTTAATGGGTGACCATAGTTTTGGATAATGATCTCATATTCACTCTGGGAAATGGATTGTGTGGTAGGAAATTCACCAAGATTCATCCTTCTTTTAAATTCTGAAGTCTCTTGAATCCTCTGTCCAGAGGTGTGCATATTAATCTATAGCCAAGTGTCTGGGAAATTTTTGTAATGAATTCTTTTCCTCAGTCGTGGAACTTTAGCCAGCGAAGTGGCAGTGTCCTGGGTGCGTGTCCCACCTCTCTCTCCTTGGATCAGGCCCGTAGCCAGGAAATCTTTAGTAGGGGAGCACTGGGTATCATACGCTTGAACTTAGCTTTGAGCTATGTAGACCCTCTGAGTCTGGGTCTCCGCGTATGCCAGGGACTCAAAGTCATTTGGGTAGTGTGCTCAATGTCCCGAGCCCCTGCGTTTCCTAAGGCTTATTCGGTTTGTTTTCTTAAAGAGGCCTGGAGGGAGTCCAAACCGGCCTTACTGTCTAATAATCCTTCAGGCTCCCAGTTATAAAACATATAAGGGTTATTTATAAGGGTTAAAACAAACGGGGGGAGTTCAACGTAAAACAGACAGTAGCTGGTCCTAAACAAGGCTTTGCTGTTCGTTCCTTCCCGGGAACTCCTAGCTCATTAGGCTTGATTTCCTGCTTTGAGGTTTTCCTTCCCAAAGCTTACTTGATTGTAGGCTCACTAGATTTTGAACTATGGTGCTGGAGAAGACTCTTGAGAGTCCCTTGGACTGCAAGAAGATCAAATCAGTCAATCCTAAAAGAAATCAACCCTGACTGTTCCCTGGAAGGCCAGATAATGAAACTGAAGCTCACATACTTTGGCCACCAAACGAGAAGGGAGCACTCACTGGAGAAGACCCTGATGCTGGGAAAGATTGAAGGTCAAAGAAGACGGGGACGGCAAAGGATGAGATGTCTAGACAGTGTCATCGACGCAACGAACATGAAATTGAGCCAACTTCAGAGGACGGCGGAAGACAGGAGGGCCTGGCGGGAGCTGGTCCATGGGGTCGCAAAGAGTCGGACTCGACTGTGCGACTGAACAACAACAAGGCTCACTTGGTCTTCTAAACAACCTGCCCCCTGACAATAACTCACGGCTGACAGTTCACCAAGTCCTGGCTGAGGCTCTCTGGTTCGTCACGGCCTCCTACTGCAAAACGTGTGTACTCCGACAGTTCATCAGCATTCCTCCATCGAGAATCTCAACGCGTCTGATGAATTTCATTCTCTGTCTCTGGGACTATGTCTTATTGCTGAATTCTCCAATCCCTGTCCCAGATCAATTAGAAATTGCTACCTAAACCAGGTGTGCCCATTTCCCTAGATCTTAGGTGCACTGATTTAAGTCCTTGGCAAAACAGCATCCAAATAACCAGGGGCAACAGCAGGCTGGAACTGGGCTGAGCATTGAAGGGGGGTAATATAATGCAGAATGGGGGGCGACGGACCCATAACAAAAAGAAGGCTGAAAAAAGAGGGTGAACTCGAGTTTAGGGCAGGATGGGGGGGGGGCTGGATTAAAAAGAAGGTTGAATTCGATTTTAGTGCAGAATTGCTTGGAGGACACCGCGACGAACATGGATTAAAAGGAGAGCGCGGAAAGGGCCAAACCCAACTTGCAATTAACCTCTGTCTCCCTAAGTGTGTACTGTTAAAACTGAAAATTCCAATGTTGAAAGGAAAGGCGAAAGCGTTTCTTTGGACATTAGCCATAAAAGACAATTAACAAATGCAAGGTTTTAATTAATTGTCGTTAATACAAGATCAACCCTCAGTGTGCCAATATAGCCGGTAAGTTTTAAAAATCCTTTTAGAAAATGTTTACAATTAAAACGGGAGTCTCCCAGGTTCAAGATTCCATAGCGCTCAAGATAAAGCCACCGATGATGAAGGGTGTCGCCTTCTGCCGATCACAAACACAATTACCGAAATACGACAGTCCACGGTGGACGTAAAACTTTCCAAACTTCATACCTATAAAGTGCATTTAAGTATTGTTACAGTCATAAGCATTATTTCGCCGTAGCATACATGCAAATATTTGCAGGGTTGTTTTTTTTTTAATCAGCTTGAGGATTTGATTCCAGAGAGCCTGTTCAAATAATACGCTGTCCTTTCACACAGCCAGTAGAGGGCATGCACTCATACAGGAAACTGCAAAGTCTGAACTAGCCGCTGATCACAGATCATAAGACCAGGGGTCCATCTAGTCCGCCATCCTGCCTCACACAGAGGCCAACCAGTTCCTCTGGAGGGCCAACAACAGGGCAGAGAGGCCGAGGCCTTCATAAGAACATTAGAAGAGCCCTGCTGGATCAGACTATTGGTCCATCTAGTCCAGCATCCTGTCTCCCACAGTGGCCAACCAGTTCCTCTGGAGGGCCAACAACAGGGCAGAGAGGCCGAGGCCTTGCAGGGGCTACTGAGGTAAGACTTACAAAGGGCTCCGAATACCTGAAATCGTCTATATTGTACACCAGGCCTTATTACTGGAAATTCACCCCTTTGTCTCTACCCAGCCCCTCGTGCATCCTGCCGGCTTTCAGACTCATCAAGCCAGCTATGCTTCACTGGCCAGCCCTGACTTATTGTTAGGAAGATGACAGACTAAGAGCTAAGAAGAGTATTCTGCTTGTGTTTAAATATCAGCGCAAGCCCCTCCCCTCCAATGTTCCCTCTAAGCTGTGGAGTCCTGTGAGCAAAACGTCTACTTTGTGAGCGACTGGCATTAAAGTTGTGAGCGGGCAATCTGGCTATTGCATAAATCAGTTTGCTCTGGGGCCACGTCCTTCCTGAGCGAAGGCAGAAATCTGTGAGCTGGAGGCTAAAAAACTGTGAGCCGGCTCACACCAACTCAGCTTAGAGGGATCACTGCTCCCCTCCCGACCCCGTTCTCTATAAAGTTTTCATCGCTCTATGTTAAATTGTGCCCAAGATATAAGTCGTGGTTGAATCGCGATCAACATTCATAGGAAGATTGGTTCAAAATCTGCCCCCCCCGGCCCACGCACGTTTATGTATTTGTGCTTCCAAAATGGACCGGTACGATGATGCTCGCCCATTTATGGATTACAGGAATGAACAGTGCCAGCGACCCAATAATCGAAACCAGAAGAAACGTCCATAAGAACACGCGGTCCAGGACCTGCGCTATGAATTTCCAGTCTTCGACGACCTAAAACACAAAAAGAAGAGTAAGAAAAGTTAGCATTGCTTTGAAACACATGCATTTCCGATTATTTGAAAATACGGGTTCATACTCAGACTGTACTGCTTCTCTCATTTCAAAGAAGAAGAAGAAGAAGAAGATGAAGAAGACGATGAAGATGAAGAAGAAGAAGAAGAAGAGTTGGATCTATACCCTGCCCTTCACTCAGAGCAGCTTACAATCTCTTTTCCCTCCCCCTCTCCATGGCAGACACCCTGTGAGGCAGGTAGGGCTGAGAGAGCTCAGAGAGAACTGCTCTTGAGAGAACAGCTCTGAGAGAACTGTGACTGACCCAAGGTCACCAGCTGGCTGCATGTGGAGGAGTGGGGAATCAAACCCAGTTCTCCAGATTAGAGTCTGCCGCTCTTAACCACTAAGAGCCAGCATGGAGGTTTACAATTGGCTTACAACTGCCTTCCCTTTCTCTCCCCACAACAGACACCCTGTGAGATAGGTGGGGCTGAGAGAGCTCCTTCAAGAACTACTCCTGAGAGAACAGCTCTGAGAGAACAGCAACTGACCCAAGTGATGGGAAACTCCAGGGAGGAGACCTTCAACACTTATAATCTGTCCAGGAGACAAAAATGTACTATTAAAAAAAGATGCTAAACTCGTCGTCAGTGTGGTGTAGTGGTTTGAGCGTCAGACCAGGATCTGGGAGACCCAATTTCGAATCCTCACTCCACTATGGAAGCTTGCTGGGTGTTCTGTATCACATACTCAGCCCGACCAACTCCACAGGGTTGTTGTGAGGAGAACCTGAGGGACCGCCTTGCCCCATACAGGCCCCAAAGAGCACTTCGGTTGGGGTCACAATACCGTCTCGTGACCCTGGGCCCTAAAGAGGCCAGGCTTGCTGCCACAAGGGCCAGGTCCTTTTTGGTGGCGGCTCCTATCTGGTGGAATGAACTCCCGGAGGAGATCAGGGCCCTGCGGAACCTGTTACAGTTCCGCAGGGCCTGCAAGACGGAGCTCTTCCGCCAGGCTTTCGAATAGGAGCCGCCGCCACCACCACCACCACCAATTGGGGCCTGCGAAGCAGGACCGCTGGGCTAGGTTGATTGGCCATTGAACATCGGGGCCATAGTATTCCCCCCCCTTTTTGACTAATGGGATGTGCAATAGGGAGCGAGTGTGTTAGTCGCGCTGGATCCTTGGGAGTTGCCCATTGTATTTAACTGTTTTTAAAATGTCTTAACCGTATTTTTATTGCACTGTGTGCCTTGATTGCGTAACTATGGTGTTGTTTTACGCCTGTGTACTGTAAGCCGCCCTGAGCCCGTGTGCGGGGAGGGCAGGATATAAATGTAATTAAATAAATAAATAAGTAAGTAAATAAAATGGAGGAGAGGAGAATGACGTAGCTGCTCTGGGACCCCACTGGGGAGGAAGCCAAGGTATAAATAAAATGAGTCACCACAGAGCAAACATATTTCGAACATCATCAGTGAAGCCTGGAAAAAGCTGCCAGATATATTCTGGCTTTAAGTAAAAAAATACAAATGCTAGGAGACCTAATGGATGCCACCGCTGCGTTAAAGCCGAGTCCAGATTATTCAATATATTTCTTGTGGAGTCAACGGCCAGCAACAGGCCAACCCCGCTTTCACGTCACAGAGAATTACTCCTCCGAGTTCTCCCCTTTCTGTAAAACTCAGGCTTTTTTCTAATCCCCCCTTGCCGATGTAACTGGCCTAATTAAAATAATCATCAAGAGAGCCAGTTTGGATGGCTGGGAGGGCGAGGAGAATGGCGGCGGAAAAGAAACTTCCACCAGGAACTACTACACCAGTGACTCCCAGTCAGCCACAGGAAGCATCTGCAAACTTTCCCAATATGCAGCACTGCGCCCTCTGCTGGACCAGATGTCTACTATTAATACCAAGCTGGATTCTATCCAAAAGCAACTTAAAGGTAAAGGTTAAAGGTCTCCCTTGCTCGAAAGCCAGTCAAATCTAACTCTAGGGTTGCGGTGCTCATCTCCGTTTCAAAGCCGAAGGGCCAGCGCTGTCCGAAGACGTTTCCGTGGTCATGTGGCTGGCATGACTAAACACCAAGGCACACGGAACGCTGTTACCTTCCCACCAAAGTGGTACCTATTTATCTACTTGCAATTTCTTGCTTTCGAACTGCTCGGTTGGCAGGAGCTGGAACTAGAGACGGGAGCTCACTTCGTCATGCGGCACCCGGGTCTCGAACTGCTAAACTACTGACCTTTCACAGCCTGCAGTTCAGCGTCTTAACGACTTGAGCCACCAGAACTCCAAAAGCAACTTACCCAAATGGAAAAAAAGAGCCAATAAGACAGATAAAAGGATTGAGAAAGTTAAAACAAAGGACCACTGATATTAAGCAACAATTAAAAGAAGTTAAAAAGGAAAGAAATAAGGATAAAAATCAGCTACTTCAGCTTGATAAATCTATGCATGTTCTACGCTTCCAAAGAGTTCCTGAACAGAAGGGAGAAGACATAAAAACAGCGATAAGTGGAGTGATAGCTGCAATTTCAGACCTTAAACAGGAGGATCTACAAAGGGACATGGACTTGGCATATTGTAGTTACCCTGATTTTATAAGAAAAAATAAATTGCCTGGCGAAATCTACGTTACATTCTCCAAGAGAACAATGAGAGACAATGTTTTAAAAGCTACTGTGGGGAAAACACTTAAAATCAACGAAGAAGAAATTAAAATTTTGGAAGACATTCCATTTGAGATCCGGAAATGAAGACGACAGTATAAAGACTTAATTCTTTTCCTACAAGACAAAGCAATAACCTACAGATGGAGCTTCCCAGAAGGAATCGTGTTCAAATGTAACGACAAGAAAATTAAAATCGGATCATTCTTTAAGTGATTCCAGCAGTTCAATGTCAAAGTCTGAGAAAGGAGGGGCAGCGCCCAAAACTCTAAAAGTGAAGATGAAGCCCAAGAGATAAATATTTTTTTTTCTGGATTACAAAATTACTTGACTTTAGTGTAACTAAGCTTTAATTGATAGAAGTTTGATCTCTCTGCTTTTATAACTTTATGTCTACCATAACATTATTATTATTGCAGGAGTGATGTATGCATTTGTTAGCTTCATAATATTCTTGTCATAAGTTAGTGACAGGTTTTCCCCGGTACCTTTACCCTTAATATGTAGGATATAGTTCATAAAATGAATAAAATATTATTTAAAAAAGAGAGAGGGGGGGGCAGTTTGGCGTAGTGCTTAAGAGCAGTGGACTCTAATCTGGAGAACCAAGTTCGATTCCCCACTCCTCCACTTGAAGCCAGCTGGATGGCCTTGGGTCAGTCACAGTTCTCTCGGCCCCCCAAAAGAAACCTCGCTCGCCACAAAAAGAGCTAGGGTTTCAGGCTGCCAGGCAATCTTCGCATCTCCTGGCTATATGACACCCACTGCCATATGACAATTATTAGTTAATTAATTGAAACAATAATCTAAATCAGGGGTGTCGAACTCATTTGTTATGAGGGCCGGATCTGACATAAATGAGACCTTGTTGGGCCGGGCCACGTGTGTCACAAAATGTAATGCCTGGTAGCGGAGATATAAACTTTATAAAGGACACAAACACGGAGATTTTATTTTTACTTAAAATAAAAACATGCTTGAAACATTAGCTCTGCGAGCTGCAAACCCACTTTTGATTGCTTGACATTCACCACAGAAATCTCATGCTCAGAGTTCTGAGTCTTGGACCCAGGTTAAAACATGAAATGGCCGAGCGATTGAGAGAGTCTGGCAAAGCAAACTTATGATGCAGCAGCAGCAGCAGCAGAACTGGAAACAGGAGATGGCTTAGCTTCCGAGATCTGATGCGATCGGGCTTACCTGGGCTATCCAGGTCAGGGCTATCGAAATGCTTCTTGATCTTCTCGGTCAAACACACTACCCCTTCTTATAAATGCAAGCATTGTTTAAAAAAAAATTCACACAGTGAAGATCCTGGCGCTGTGTTGGCAGCGGCTGCCGAAGCCACGCTTTTACAAACCTGCAGCCAATCAGAAGCCTTGTTGGGCCCGGGACTTGGATGGAAGACCTCCAAGGAATACCAGGGCCAAGACGCAGAGGCAGGCAATAAAAAGCCACCTCTCTAAACATCCAAGCTCCAGTAGGGGTCGCCGGAAGTCAGCCATGACTTCCAGGCATGCACGCACACACACTCACATGCGGGGCCCCAACCACTTTCTAAAACAGGGCAGCAGGAAAGGTGTCAGCTGGCACCCTAGTGCCCCTGGGCACCGCGTTGGAGACCCCTGTGCCTCCGTCTCTTCCAAACGTCTGACCTCCTCAGGATGACCGCTTCACGACTAATGCACCCACCTCACGCACTTCGTTCTCCTTGACGATGTGCCTTGTAATGTAGCGAATGGAATTCAGGGCCGCTCCCAGCGTATTCCTGGAGGGCTCGGTTCCGTCGGGGTCGCCGGCGTCCTCCTTCTGAGAAAAGTACCGATCGATGTGGCTCCTCATGCAAAGCAGTTTGGGGAGCTGGTGAAGGAATATCTTGCGGACCCAGGGCGCCATGGCGGTGTGCGTCGACGAGGACCGGTGGTGAACGTTGATGGCGAACACCGTGATCACGATGGAGAGCGTCACGAAAATCATCGTGAACACCAGGTACTCGCCGATCAGGGGGATGACCTTCGACGACGACGGGATGATCTCTTCGATGACGAGGAGAAAGACGGTCAAGGACACCAGCACGGAGGTGCACAGGGAGATCTTCTCGCCTTCGTATGACGGGAGGTAGAAGACGAGGATGGTTAAGAAAGACAACCCTATGCAGGGGACGATGAGGAACAGGGTGTAAAAAAGGGGCAGGCGGCGGATTATGAACGAGTACGTGACGAACGGGTACCAGCAACACCCGTCCGACCTGTTCCTTCGGACCCCGGTCGCCGTGACGATTTCCCACTCGCCGTTATCAAAGAAGTCCCTCTTGTCCACCTCGTGGTCCACCAGGATGATATCCACTTCCGAGCCGTCGTACGTCCAGGAGCCAAACTTCATGGAGCAGTTTTGGAGGTCAAAAGGGAAATAGGTCACGTCGATGGTGCAGGAGCTTTTGTAATTGGCAGGCGGGGTCCAAGCGATGGTGCCGTCGTGTCTCACAACGGTCTTGGTCGTCGTGCCTTCGAAACGACCGTCTGCACTGGAAAGGGGGGGGGGAGAAAATACCCTGCAGTGAATATTAAAGAGGTGACGTAGTAAAACGGATCTGTTCCCCAGGGAAAGCTGCCATTTTACACAGTTGTTTCCTGATATTTGTGGTATTAATTCACATGCTGAAGTAAGAACATTTATGTTTTAACGCTATGCAAAACTGAAAAGAAGAGGAGGAGGAGGAGGAAGAGGAAGAGATTGGATTTATACCCCACCGTTCACTCAGAATCTCAGAGCGGCTGACAATCTCCTTTCCCTTCCCCTCCCTACAACAGACACCCTGGGAGGTCGGTGGGGCTGAGAGAGCTCTGAGAGAACTGTGACTGACCCAAGTCATTCCAGCAGCTGCAAGTGGAGCAGGGGGGAATCAAACCCGGTTCTCCCAGACTGGAGTCTGCACTCTTAACCACTACACCAAACCGTCTTCTACCTTCAAGAGAACCAAGTGTGGCATAGTGGTTAAGAGCGGCAGACTCTAATCTGGAGAGCTGGGTTTGATTCCCTCCTCCTCCTCCACGTGAAGCTACCTGGGTGACCTTGGGTCAGTCACAGTTCTCTCGGAGCTCTGTCGGCCACACCTACCTCAAAGGGTGTCTGTCGTGGGGAGAGGAAGGGAAGGTGATTGTAAGCCGCTTTGAGATTCCTTCCGGTAGGGAAAAGCGGGGTATAAAAACCAACTCTTCTTCTTCTCTTCCCTTCTGTGCAAGCAATAGGGTTGCACCATACAAAATGCCTCACAAACTCGCTTGGATGAATGATTAGAGACTGTGGCTGATACTCCTGCATTTCTAGTTCTTGCGGCCTTTTCGTATACGCCCAGGGAAACGCTGATGGCCACTTTGGGGTCAGGAAACAATGTTTCTCCAGGCCAGTTTGGCCCGGGATCCTGGAGCGTTTTTGTCTCTTTCTGGGCATGGAACAGGGGTGTGTGTGGTGGGGGGGAGGTATTTGTGAATTCCCTGCATTGTGCAGGGGGTTGGACTAGATGACCCTTGAGGTCCCTTCCAACTCTATGATCCCATGATCCTGCATATAGCTTTATTGTAAGTAGAGAACTATTGTGTAATTTCTGTACCGCTTTCTTTCCCGTGGTTCCAGACGTCTAAAATCCTCATGCATTGGTTACAGAATGTCCCGTTTTGTCGACTGTACTGACTCACTATGTGAAATCCGCCTTGAGTCCCTTCTGAGACAGGCAGACGATAACTAACAGAAAGAAAGAAAGATCCTCATACCAAGGGTATAGTCCACCGAATTGTGCACTAAGGAAAAAAGTTGATTACCTTAGCAGTGCAAGAATAGAACTCCTTTCATTCATATTCTCCGACGCCATAAGCCTTTTGGCCCTTCAATAATTATTACACAGTAAACCAAGAAATGCTTACTTGTCATACAAAACTATATCGGGAATCCATATAGAATCTGAAGGGACACGAATAGATGTTATTCCTGCGTAGTCTTTCGGGTCCCACTTCAGTTTCACGTCAACCCATTCCTATAAAGAGACGAGAAGTGTTTCGAAAAGAAAAATCCGTCTTTTAAATATCTATCTATCTATCTATCTATCCATCCATCCATCCATCCATCCATCCATCCATCCAGGGGTCATTTTGTAGAAAAAGAGGTGCAGGAGCTCATTAGCATAACTTATTTACATATGCCACACCCCCTGACATCACCGGAAGCGTGTCAGAAGGCAACACCCACCGCTCAGGTGCCACTGGACGATTTTGGATGGCTAGCTATTGGGGGGGGGGGGAATGTGCAGAGCTGTCCTCACAGAGGAGGGAAAGCTTGTACCTGAATAAAACTTGGTCTTAAAGGTGCCACTGGACTGTTTTGAGCCAGGGGGCCGGGGGGGTGCCACTGCAACTTACCTGGCTGCTTCTTGCTCTGACTGAGGGCTGCTGGGAGCAGGGGGTGGGGCTTGTTGCATGTGCCCGCCCCCTGGGCTCTTTACTGCCGGAGCTCCGCTCCTGTGCGCTCCTGCAGGAAATGACCCCTGTATCTATCTATCTATCTATCTATCTATCTATCTATCTATCTATCTATCTATCTATCTATCTATCTATCTATCTATCTATCTAATTATAAATATATATATATTTTTCCAGATTTTCCAGATAGAACAAATTTATTTTATGTCAAACACACAAAAACAAACTAAAAAACAAACAGTAGTACATACAAACATTCAATCGGAGAATCTATCCATCTCTTTGAATTATCTATTAAATTATCCATACATCTCTCAGTAAAAAGTATATATCTACACCTTATATTAAGTAAAAAAGTTTTGCACATATTTTAAATGTTCCTGTTGTCCTCTATTCTGGTTGTGTACACACTTCATTTAATGTATTCTTCAATCCATCTGTAAAATATTGACCATTTTCAAAGTCCTCCTTTTTATGTCCTTTCAAAATTAAAGTTAATTTATCCATTTCAGCAGTTTAAAGTAGTTTGTTTATTGTTCCTTCTTTTGAAGGTGTCTCCTGTCTTCTCAAATATGTAGCATACAATATTATAGCAGTTGTAACTACATGTAAAATTAGATAAGAATCTTGCTTTTTACAATTTTCTGGAAGTATATTCAGTAAAAACAGTTCTGGTACAAAGGGTATTCTACTTTCAATTTTTTTTTACAATATTCCATGTATCCAAGCCCAAAATTCTTGAGATTTTCCAGATAATGACAAAGACAAACATAAAAGAATTGATTTGAAACAGGCAGTACGGAATGGAACATCTGAAACCCTCCACCTTTTCTAAAAAATTTAACTTACTGACTGCAATAAGATAGATCAAGGTGGGTAGCCGTGACTCACGAAATCTCAAACCCTGCCGCATATTTTGTTAGTCTTTAAGGTGCTATTGTGGTCTTGCTCTCTTCTACTGACTGCAATAAGCGTTTTTCTTTGGAAGCACCAATACACATAATGCTCCTGAGATACAGTTGCAATTTTTCTTTTGTTTCACATAAGTTTTGAAATGCCAAAGAAAACAGAACAGGAAATGGCTGCAAATTAGATCAACGGAATTAGGCATGATTTCTTCCAGTACAGAAACAACAAAGCCTTTTTCTTCCTGGTTTTTTTCCCCTTATTAACTAAGCAAAGCCAAACTTCTCTACGGGTATGTTTTATAGCATGCATATAAAAGTTTCTTCAGGTAAATCAAGCGGACGGGCAAGTATTTTTTAAGAAGCTACTCTGTGTTTTGATCGGCTGCAGTTATTATTTTGCGGCTACGTTGGTAGCAAGATGGGACATGCAGTGAATGGAGAACCCGGACCTCAGTGACCCAACCTTGGGGTAGGATTCGGCACCTCTCCCAGCATCACAGGCCCCGGTCACACGGCAAACTTGCCGCGGGAGAGGCACGGATGGTGGGCGGATTATCCAGGCGCAATCACACCCCAACATCTGGGAAGTGGAGCGCACCGGTGGCTTACCGCTGACAATGCGCCTTAAAAAACCAGTACCCCCAAGGTACTAGTAAACATTTGCCACGGGCTGCCTCCAGACACCTGTGGTGTGATCGCGCCAGTGCGCAGCATTCCCCTCCGGTCCCTCGTTTACCCGCCGGCGCTGAGGGCAGGACCCGTGCTGTGCCGCCGGCGTGTCTGATCGCGTAATCGCGCATCAAACTGCGCCGGGGCAATTAGCCACGCCTCCCCCCCACGATATCCGGCCTGTGTGACCGGGGCCACAGATAGGTAGAATCCAAAGCTCCAACTCACCTGCTTCAACCAAACATTTGTTGTCATCAACTGGTTTTTCTCATCCTGTTAAAACAAATCACAGGCTTTTCACATTTTCAAGACAATGGTTTGTAAACACACGGCACGTGTTCTGCAGTTATCATCCAGAGGTGGTGATCTAACACTGACCCGCAAGTCTATTAACCAGGCCCGTAGCTAGGATTTTGTGATTTGTGGGGAAATTTCCCCCCTCGGTGGGGCTGAAGTTCTCAGTGCAGAAAGAAAAGCCAGAATTCTGAGGATAATTATTCAGCTACTGTGGAGTCAAGCCTTTTAAAATCAAAGCCCAGAAGCTTCTGCAAATCATAGCCCCAGAGTGTCACAATAGCAAGCTGGTGTGTGTGGGGGGGATAAATGTTCTGGTAGATGCTTTGGCCAGTAAACTCACTCCAATTTGTATAAAACACAAAAAACTTTACTGACAAAAACAAAGGACACACAACACATCAATAGGGGGGGAAATGTATACAGTTCAGGAAGGAATGCAAATCGAAACAAAAAAACCTAGCTGGCTGTTCTACTCACTACTTTTCCTATCAGGCGTGTACCCCTGGCATCTCAACTGGCGTTCCCGATGAGCAGAGTCTCTAGAAGCAGAGCAGCCGGGTGGGAGTTGAAAAGAACTTTGAGGCAGTCTCTTCTCTCTCTAAGTCTTCTCAAGCTGTCTATTCTACATAGGTGTTCTTAACCATTTAGCCAATAGAAAGCTGTGACCAGGATAGAGCTCTAAATTGCAAGCTGTCAATCACTTTAGATGACAGTTCTCAGCTGCTGCAAGTTAATCACTTCTGCCAGCCTAAGCAGCAACTCTGCTAACAAGCCAGCAGGTGCGGGGTGATGACTTCTATAGTCAAGAAAGCTAACACTTAGGCAGGAAAACTCTCTTAATGGAAACCAATTTCTTGACATAGAGTTCTAAGGGATCCTAGAGGTCACCTACTCCAACCCCCTTTGCTCAGTGTGGGAATTAGTCAACTATAGCACCCCACTCTGCTTAAAGGAGCACGCACCTTTTAAAAACACACTGATTAACTTCCCCCACCAGCGTGTCCGCCTCCAAGCATCAACTTCACTTTGCACCAAACCGCCCGCGTTTCTAATTTGGCAATACAGCACCGGCAACAGCAGAGCTTTCTAACATACCACGTCCACCAGCTGCGTAATGGCGAGGCCAAATTTCACTCTGATCGTATCGTTCAAGCGTTCCACCGGGCGGACCCATCTTTCGTAGTCTTCAAATAGGTGCTTGAACAAACGGTCTTCGCTTTTGGCGATAAAGGAAGGCTCCGCTGTACCTGCATGAAAAGGGAAAAGAGCTTCAGTGTAGTTATATAAAAACACACATATCTCCCGGCTTCAATAGCCCAGGCTAGCCTGATCCCATTAGATCTCGGAGGTTAAGCAGGGTCAGCCCTGGCTAGTATTTGGAATCCTAACAGTATAACCAAATCAGTAATTTTTTTTTATTTAACCGTAAAACTAATCTGGACCTGGACAGCTGTTATTCTAAAAATGAAACCTTCATCTGGTTGTAACAAATCTAATAAATAATAAAATAATAATAATAAATATAAAGATTATACCAGCAAGAATGAGTCTTGATGTAGGAACCCATGATTTAAATCTAGTCTTACTGACTAGTGATTTAAATTGGGATTTAAATCGCTTTAATTTAAATCAAATCCAACCTGATTTGGATGGGCGACTTCCAAGGAATACCAGGGGCGTGAGCCAAAGGCAAACCACCTCTGAAATGTCTCTTGCCTTAAAAACGAGTCTAGCTCACCACCTAGTGGTGCCTAACGCTAAAAGAGCTAGAACTTCTGGCTGCCAGACAATCTTAGGATCTCCTTGCTATACTACACAGTGGGCGCCTTCTGCTGCGGTTACTTTCTGTTTGGAGGTCTATGGACACTTATCTATGATGGAATTACAGAGGAGCCTACTGTTGGTTTTGAATGTGTTCTTTTTTAAACTATGTTTAATTCTTCTGAGCAATCTGTTGGATCAACGTCTATACACTCTGTTGGGTTGTGACCACTCATCCTTCTTTGTATTTCAATGGATGTAATATATAGTTTTGAACATAGTTGTGAATTGTAGATGGTCTTCCCTTGGCGGGTGTTGTTTGTGGCTATACTACACACACTGCCATACAATTATTATTGTTGTTGTTACACATATTCTCTTCTCTGCTTTCTTGGAACTAAAAAAAATTAGCGTAGTAAAGGTGAAAGAAATCAAGGTATGGAGATGGAACTGGGCTTATCGAACTGATGGATCTGTCTACTGATATCTGTCCAGGGCAAAAGAGGTTCGATAGAAAGTTAAATCCACACAGTTCTCCTACTCTGTAAACGGGATAAAAGAAATGTCTGCAGTTTTCCCTTCGCCACATCTGCCTGTCAGGTGTACCAGACCTGGCAGTGTTAAACAGGATAACAATCCTACAGAGAATGGACTCCGGATGCACTGGGACACCTCACCTCAAAGCATTTCCATTCCATTTACACGCTCCCTTCACAAATGGAGGACCGGTTCCAGGTGCGAACCGTGGAGGGGCTGCCAGACAACCCGCAGAGAAGGGCACCTGGCAGATAGCCGGCTGCCTTTGCCGTCAGCTGCGCTCTTGCTCTCTCCTCTCAGAGACGATAATTTACTGAGTTGGAAGCACGCAAATGAAAGCGGCAGGAAGATAATGTAGACGGCTACGTTAAGAGAGGTCGCACAAAGCAAGAGGTCGCCCTAATTGTTAGCCGCCCTGAGCCTTAGGGGAGGGTGGGATATAAATCGAATTATAAATAAATAAAATAAATAAATAAGACGGAAAGGGGGTGTTGGGATAAAATGAGGACAAGGGGGGAAGAGCCAGGCCCCTGTGCAGTGTGGTCCCGAAGTGATGCTCAACAGTCTGCTCTGTACATAATTTTTTAAAAATGCATGGAAACATCTATCTATCTATCTATCTATCTATCTATCTATCTATCTATCTATCTATCTATCTATCTATTCGACTTCTATCCCGCCGTCCCCGCATGGCAGACTCAGGGCGGGTTACATCAAATTTAATAAAATACAACAAACACAATCAATACAATGAAAACACGAATAAAATACCGCGGTGGCCTTCGTCCAGTGCCGTTGTCATTGACATTTATTTATTTATTTATTCGATTTGTTATCCCGCCCTAACCCCTAAGGGTCTCTGGGCGGCTTACAGAGAGTGCTAATCACATTTACAGAATCTAACCTAGGGCCACAGATATACAGGGGTGGTGACTACCCTACCAGGCACCCTT